GTATTTTTAAATGGGTACCTTCTGAGAACAGAAAAAGGAGAGAAGGAACTGCATCAGATCTGTAAGTCCATTTTCTGTTTGTTCCTGAACACACCCTGTGACCTGAAAGACTTTTGGAAGAGGAAGAATTGTTGTTCTACTGCTTGCTATTTTCCAAACAGCTTACCAGATTCCTTAGAGTGTCATTCTTTAGGACTGATTAGAAATGTGCACAACACAACAGTTTCAAAGGTGGCTGCACATTGTAATTTTAAATTTCCAGGTCAAGTGGTTAAGGCCTTGTTTTGACAAACTTTACTTAAGTCTTCATAGTGGCTTTGGCAAGTATATGGCACAGTGGGCAGTACTTAGGGAGATACAAACTGACCAAAAAATTTCTGTCATTCTTGCTCTGCCACTTCTTTTAACGGTGAACAAAAACTAATCTAAAGGATAATTTGGACTAAAGGATAACTTTGTACAAAATACAGGATTTTTTAATAAATCTTTATCTTTTTTTGTAGAAACACAAATGATTGATGGGATATTTGTTTGGGAGTTCATTTCAGCTTATGGGGGGACATGAGTGGTAGATTAAGCACAGATTTGCATTTTGACTATCCATCAAGGGCTGTCTTCAGAGTGCAAGAGGCTCTCATCTCTTAAATATTTTTGCAAAAGAGCATAGAATTTGGAGCTAATCTAGCAGTTTTCTTCCTGGAGGGAACATCCAGGAGAACGCTGTGAAAAGAATGAGCCTTCATGGAATCTGTCCTCTTTCATCTTATAATGAAAAGGTGAAAGAGTGGGAAAATCTCCAGAATATACTGTAAGCCATTCAAGATAGGAGCTTTGTCTTACCCTGGATTTTTACATCACATTGCACAGCAGGGCTTCACCTAGACTTCACAAAATTCTGCAGACTGCTGCTATACTTTACTGTTGACCTGTGTATGAGTAAGTATTACTTTCTAGTTTCTTCCAGAAAGGCAAGATCCACATCTTGGTTAAGGAAGCTTGGCAGAATGATAATGTCGGTGTTGTCAGATCTCTGGCTTTAATACAAACGCGATGCCTGTCTGACTGAAGCAAGCGCTCTTAAATCTACCAGAGAAGAAAAATGCTTGATTAATTAATGAGACTGACAGCATCACTGGAACCTGACTTCTAGGCTTTTAATAGCTGTCACCTGCACACTTTCTGCATCTTCACTTTAAAGCATGTCACAGGCATCCTGCATGCATGAATTTCTTTACTATGGAGGTTGATCTTAATATGAGATGTGAAGTCTTTTTTCATTTGAAAAGAAATCTATCATAAGTTTTATAAAGTTCATACAAGCCAACTCACAATAGCCAGGAAATAACATCAGAAGAGTCAAAGACCAAAGCACCAGTGACGTTGCTATGTAAATCAATAATGTGCATCTTAGCAAATACATTTTGCCCCATATTTCAGTGTACTCTGTTGAAATCCTTTTATTCCAGTACTTAATTACAACTTTTGATTAAATTAGTGGCGATTTCTTCACCCCATTAAGGCTAATTGTTTCTTTGTAATTTTGTATTCTTGTCTAGATTTATATCCATTAGGATAAGGGAATAAAGTCAACTCTGAATCTCTCTTAACAGTATAATGTATATATATTATTACCTCTCTGTAATCTGACTGTCTTGCACATAATGTTAAGAATGATTCAGAAAACAATGTTAAGGGCAAATCTTGGGAGAACGTAGCATATTTTAGGAAGATGCTAAGAGCATTTCTTCAGACATTGTTCTCCCGAGGGCATAAATTATGCTCTAATAAGCACCAGTGCCTTTTAAAGAGAAGTGACTTCAGTTGGTCACAGCATGGCACCAAGAATCCTGGATTCACTTAGCTTTGCCAGGACATCCTCATGACTGAGTCTGACTAAACTGGCATATATTGGGGTTTGAGGTTTTTGACGTATTTTCTGTCTAGCTTGTAATTACAAGAAAATGAGCTGAACAGGAATGAAGCTGGTTTATATTTGTACTGGAAACTGATGCAAGAAGCTTCAGGGAGTAATCTGCAGAGGAGCTACTGCTACGCAAAATGGTGGGAAGATGGACTGCCAAACTAAAGCTGTCAAAAATGATATCTTCCCTCCCTCATTTCCTGGGGACCACCTGTAAATTGGAGGAGGAATGACAGCACAGGAGTGGGAATAGAAGCAGGAATTAATTCAGCATGGGGCCAGTATGGACTGCCAGTTGCAGACTCTCTCCTCTAGACTGGGTGGTGCCCATCACTGGAACAGCTGTGAGCGCCTTGCTCTTCCTTGAGTTGCCCCAGTTTGGCTGCTGAGGACAGCCCCTTGGCTTTTAATGGTGGTGACAGATTGCAAGATCTCAGTTATTGCAAGAGTGCAAGACCACTTCAACAGCTGCTCCTTCCTAGTAAACACTGGTAATACTGGCGCAGATCTGTAGCCTTGCTGCAGCCAGCCTTGGTGCCTGTTACTCTAGATGGAGTTGGGGCATTTACAGCCTGTGACAAGACTTTGAGGTTCTGCTGTTTTAAGTATTGTGTGCACTAAAAATAATCCTTCAAAAGAATTTGAATTCTAGGGGTGATTTTCATTGACAGAATGGAGCTGTTTACTTTGTAAGTTAGTTTTGCTGTGCTCTGCCCTCCCCTGTATTTCATTTTCTCTTTCCTTCTATTCAGCTCTTCTCCCTCAAAGCTCTGATCTGTGCAACTGATTCCACTCCAATTTTGTGTCCATTGCTCCCCTTTTCCAAACCATTCATGCTTTAGTTGCTTAACTGCATTATGTTTGAATGTGTATAGTATGTTTTTAGTAAAAGACAATTTGTAATTGTGCAGTGCCTAGTACACTGATCCACGAGTTCTTTCCTATCAGGATGACAATTTTAGGATGACTTTAGAAAAAGGTTTTGCTCCTTGCATATTCAGTCAGCTCCCAATTTGCCAAATCTGTCTGTAAGGTTGGAGGAGTCAGAGGAAAAGGTAAAAAGCATAATTCTCTGAAGAAAGCTCAAATACAGTTTGGGTTTTTTAGTGCAACAAGCAATGGAAATCCTGAAAGGTTATAAATTAAAACCATGTCTTCTGTGCCTATGCACAAGCATTTTCTGAGCTGTTGGAAGTTTCCAAAGTTTTGAACCTATTTTGCCATCCAATGAAGTATGACATATGGCTTCTTAAAAGACTCTATATGTATGGGGAAAGTAGGTCAAGTTTCCTTCTTCCTGCAGCTGAAGATAATATAAGTGAAGATAATGTCAATATGTATGACTTTTTTCTAAGGCTTGCTGTTCTGGCATGACTGATCCGTTTGTTTCTTCTTGACAAGTGGTAAAAAAAAACTGTTAGAGGAAACAAGATTGGAAAAAGCTTCCTGGATCATAAGGTCTGGGTCTCTGATCTTTAAGGCAACCATATCACACAGACACATTGATAAATTGATTGAGCTCCCTACTAAAACCACCTACATTTTGTTGCCACTGTGACTGTAATAGCAGGACTCTTCCAGATTATATTCCTGTGATGATTTGAAAGAAGATACTCAGACAGTTTTCAACTTACACCTCTCGGAGTGCAGTCCTCTCCAAACCCCTGGTTTGGAGTTTTTACGGTCATTGATGACCAGTGCCTTCTACCATGGCACAATACCATGCTGTTTCTGTTAGAAGTAGAAGTGAAGTTGGATTCTACAGGTCAGTTTTCAAATACTTTACTATAATCTCCAATGGAATTGTAGCATCTTTATCCAAAAAGGTTAGTCACTTACATGCCACAGGTGAAGCTGTGTTCAGTCCTGTTTTGGTTTTTTTTAGTCGGTTGGTTGGTTTAGGTTTTTTACCTTCAAAGTCTGTTTTGGAATTGTACAAAAAAGATATAATTTCCTTGAGGAACAGCAACCATCACATTTGGTGAATTTTAATTTTTTTTTTGAGTACTTCTAGAGTGCTAAGTCTACTCAGAGAAGAGGGTTTAATATAACTTAATTTTATCAGGTGATTCATAGTGTAGTAGTTGAGCCCGCGTCAAAGATCAGGAGGGATTTTATTTCTTCTTCTTTTCAGCTATATTCACCAAACTCTTGTTTGTATTTTATTGCAGTTGTCTACCTTGTGGTTTTTCATCTGTCATTTGTCATGTTTGTATGGTCGTATTGGAAGACAATTTTCACATCTCCTGCATCCCCCTCTAATGAGGTAAATATAACGTTAGAAAAACGTCAATGCTTTTTTTATAAATAGCTGAACTGTTTTCAGTGATGAAACTTGTTTGCAGTGGTGCGTGATTCACCTTTCCCTTCTCATTATCTAAAATAGAACAGCATGACAGTGTATCATGAATGAAAATTATCAAATTACTCTTAAAATACTGGATACTTTGTGTAATGACAGTTCATTATACGAAATGTATGTTTAATTCATCGCAAGTCTGACAGTCATGTACAGTGCTTTGCTATGAATTGTCTTGCTTGAAGCCTGGAATTTTTAAAAGCTAAATCAAATACATTGACAACATTTTTATATTTCCATTGCAGGCAGTTTTTATTTTTCCTTGGATAGGAACAAGTAGTAATGCATTGTATACTCATAACCTGGAGGACTCACTTAAGAAGTCAAGAGTTAAGGTTTAGTGACAACTGAGAAGTAAATACATAAGGTAGCTTTACGTAATGGCAAAAGAATGCATGATGACTAAGAAGTTTTGTTTTGAAAAATAACAGTATTAACTGAAATAAGCCTGAGATGGATTACCTTATTTTCTGTTTTCTCTAAGGTGTGTGTATTAAAGGATTAAATACTGGCACCAAATTTAAAATACTTCCATTTTCTTCCTTGGTTTTATAAAGCTTTTAAATTGGCTAAACAGTTTGAGGTTTTGGTTGCTCTATGGGGGTTGAATTTTGACTCTATTTTTGGCAAGACTGACTTTCAGTGCTAATGTCATCCTTAACATTTTTTAAAAGAGTTAAAACCATGCTTCTAAGGAAAAGCAAACACTGCTCTGCAGTGCTTAATTATGGCTTAGAAATCTGTATCTTTAGAAAGCTACAGAATATAAAAGTGAAAAAAGCTGAAGACTGTTCTGTTCTTCAGAGTAGTACTGATTTGTTGAACCTAAAAATTCAAAGGGACTTGTCTTCGGGGTGGTTTGTTTCAGCTTTATCTGGGATAGTTCTGCAGGAAAATGATGAAGTTAAGCAGGTTAGCTAACTAACTGAAGTGTGATTGGAACCTTGTTATTCCAGGTTTTGTAAAGCTATATAAACTAGAGCTTTTCGTAAAGCTAATGCCTAGTAACTTCTACTGTCTGCTTGGATTCTTCAATAAAAGAAAGCTGCTTCTGACAGTAATTATCCTGTAGTTACAGTAATGTTGTATCAAGCTTTTTGTATTCAGTGAGTGAAAGGGATGGTTTGGGCACGTGGCATATAATGAATATTTCTTATATCAAGTGTGGGGGTAGATCACATTTAATACAATTTTCTTCTGCAGCTATCTTTAAAAAGAAAATATAAAAAACCCCACAACAACAAACAACAAAAAACACACACAAAAACCCCACAAATCCAACCAAATAACAACAAAAAAACACCACCACTTTTTCTGTCTCTGGGCAAGTCCCATGTGTTTATGTACTAGTGAGTAATTTATGCTGGTTTTACTTAAAAACAAAACCTGGCTTCAGAATCTCCCCATTGTATGAGAGTGTAAATGTATATATTTTTAGTCATTCAAATTAGCCATTCTTGCAAAACAAACGGCATCCTGTGATCTTACTATTGAACTAAAAAAAGATTCTGCAGCTGCTGTTGTCTTAGTGTAATCCCTGTACATTTGTCATAAGAAAGAACAATCAACGTTATACAAGATCCAGAAAGAGGAAGGAAACAAAGGGACTCTTTCTGTTTTCAATAAGAACTGCTGAAACCTCACTGGAAATTCTGTTAGCTATGTGGTAACAGACAACTTTTGATGTCTTTGATCATATCCTGCCATTGTCCAGAGAGGCTGTGGTCTCATGGCCTTATTAACTTCTGAAATTAGAACAGAAATACAGCTTTTTGGAAAACCAAAATCCTGTCCAGGATTTTTGAAGTAATATTATGATGCTACTTGAACAAATTTTAAAAGTTTTAAATCTTGTGATTTAGTTTCTTTCCTGTGCACTAATGGTTTGCCATAGAAATGTCATCTAGAAGTAGTATTTCATGTTTAGTGCCACCTCTGCTTGATTGCAGGTCATGGACACAGGTATTTGGTCACCTAGCAGACTCACAAGGGCAATAGGGAGGAAGGCATATTGCACCACTGCTTGCTGGCGTGATGCTTCATATCTGCCTTAAACTTTTGATGTGAGCATCTCCAGTTTTCGTATTTGAGTAAATACCTAGTTTAGAGACGGATATTAAAGAATGAGATTAAACTTTTGGTGATGACTGAAGTGTTAAACTTTAATTTCCCTCTTTGCATAGATTGATCCTAGTTTCTGATTATTTAAAAGGGGATTATGTTTCATGTTTCACCCTTGAATGGTGGATAGGCTTAATAGCTGGGGTGATGCTATATGTAACAGGAGACTTAACTAGAGTCTGTGAGGTGTGAGGGAACTTGTTTGCATTCTGGGTTAGAAAGTAACGCAGAGAAATTGCAGCAATGTCTTAGTGCTTCCTCCTTTCTCTAAATGGAATCTTCATTGTTGCTTGCCAACTGACTACAATCCAAAAGAGGAAAAAGTACAGGATGAGAGGAAAATCCATGTGAACTAATCATATATATGTTCTTGGTAGGAAAATATGGTCATATTAAACCACACTATGCCATTTTTTTTTCCAGTTGCACACACAGCATTTTCCACTCACTACCATGAATACTTTGTCTGTGTGTGCTCATAAAAAGGGCTCTTGTAGTCCGTGCTGGAAGCTCATAGTTTAAAAGCACTTTGGAACAGAAAAATACCAAAGGAAATAGTGAGTTCAGCCCCAACTCCACAGGGGCTTGTCAGCACACCGGGTTTTGTGGGGCTTAATGGTAAAGCTCATAATTTCGGTGGATGCCAAACTGTTTCACAAGCGAGTAAAAGCTCTCTAAGTTCTTCTGGTAAACCTTTACATTTCAGAGAGACTTCAACAGGAATGCTTCTCATGCTTTACTCAGAATTGTAACTCTCACTCAAACTGTACAGACTTTGTTGAAGTTGCTTTCAATACAGCTCATGGGTTTTGAGACCAATGCTGACTACTCCCAAGTAGAAGAAGTTCTAGTTAAACTCTTTCAACTTCTGTGCTGAAGCCATTAAGCCCCCGCACCTCTTTTTTCTTTCCCCCTTCTGGTTTGTACTCCTCTCTTAAGTCAGAGAGAGGAAGTGGGATATGAGAACCTTATTGCTCTGTAGCAGCAAAGGACGGTTGCACCTTCCTCTTGTTCACAGATCACTTAAATCTACGCTTATCAGGAATTAAGGGAAAGATTGTGCCTTCTTAAAACTTCCCTGAGTCTCTACTTTCCTTTGTGTTGAAGGGCAGATGCTGAATAATATCTCTGTTTCATAGATAATGAAACAGAGATAAAGATTATTTTCTTTAAAATATGCCCAGGATCATCGTGGAGTTTTAAGGATCTCTTGTAATTCCTATAGCATTCTTTTTTCTTTACATGAGGTTTTTGGGTCAGTGGGTGGGGATTGTTCAAAGACATAGGATTAAGATACGTAGGGTCTTTTCCTTGCCGCTTGACTAGAACACAAACTAATAATTAATCTCTTTCTTTCATTTCATTTTCTCCCCAACTCCTAGTTCTGCTTGTCAAAAGCTGATAAAGAACAATATGAAAAAGAAGAGAGACCAGAATCCCAGCAGGAGATTTTGAGAAGAGCTGCTAAAGACTTACCTATCTATACGACAACAGCATCGGGAGGTGAGATATAAAGATAATTCTGTGCTCCTGAAGCTGCTAGTTTAATTCGGTGATATTCATTTGATGTCACTGAATGAACAATCTGTTAAGCACATATTGCAAAGATCATGACCTTGTTTTGTTATTTGTTTGGAGCTGTTTGTTTGGGGTTTTTTTCTTCAAGAGAAACCGTCTTTTGTCTGGGGATCTCAACATGTAGCCAGTATTTGGAATAAAAAAACCCAAAACTCTCTTCTAGCAAGCAGATAGATGACAACATTTATCTCTAATTGCAGCTATAAAAAATAAACACGACAAAGAAATGTAGCTAATACAGCTAGATATAGAGAAAATTAAGCTTTTTACTCAATTTTATAATCATTTATAGCCCACTTTAAACTTCTTTTTCTCAGCTCTATCAGTTCAGCTGAATGAGAAACATCATACTTAAGGCTAGAAAAGAAAGAATAAATGTTGTTTCATTCCCATCTGTAACTCGGTACAAAGCTAGTTATGGGCTATTTCTGTATTTGCCTTTAATACATATAGGCATTTTTATTCCAACTTGTATATGAACGATCTGTGAAACTGCTCTTATACATATGTATATTCTTAAAATCTAGCTTTTGTATGTATATATATCAGCTTCTCTTTCTTAAAACTAGCAACCCTGTAGAGTTTTCCAAAAACATAAATTACTCAGAGTAACTGTTACCAAAGTTTACTGTGACTTTCCAAACAAAAGTCTAAGGACACCTGGCTTTTTTGAATACAAGCCTCCCTTTAAGGGAATCCCAGTCTTAAGTTCCTGGAGTGGTCTGGGAAGCTCTTGCCAGCTTTTAGCAGTTCTGCTTAGCTGTAGGTGTTGGCTTCCCTCCTCCTTTCTAACTGCCTGTGCTGGTGTCTTATTTCCATTGAGAAGAGCCTGAAGGCTTGTTTAAAAATATCCAGGAAAGATGAGGAAGTGCTAATTTGCTGAACAGTCTGCTAGATCACTATTTGCTGAAGAGGATAGGGAAAGCTAATGCAGAAAGTTGGCTTGCTGAAAGAATGTGGTTTCACAATGGGATGCCTACGTACCCTGTCCAGAGGTGAAAGAAAGCAAGCGACAGGGGCTCAGTGCCAGAGGATGAAGGATGGGAAGACTGGGGGGCCAAAGAGTAAATGGAAACGGACTCAATACAGTAGTAATAGATCAGAGTGTTTAAAATACTTTCATATGTTACATTTCTTAAAAAAACTCAAAAGTACATACCATATGAGAGTAGGTACGTGAAGGCCTGTGAGAAGGGGAGGGCAAGAAGCTCTTTTAAGATTCAGTTCATGTTAAGGGAAAAATCCTTTTTAAAATTAAATGAGTTCTAATGATTTAACCCTTGCCGCTTGAATGCAGCAATCAGATATTGTGATCGATGCCAGCTAATCAAACCTGACCGCTGCCACCACTGTTCTGCATGTGACATGTAAGTACTGACTCTGAAATGATGGATTTTCTCTCTCCTGTGATCATCACTTCAGTGTTTTCCTGTCATCAGTGTGTCAGCCCTTGCATAACAGCAGGTTTTACTATTTGTTCCTCTCTCAGACCCTCAATTACCTGGATTTCATGAAAGAGCAAAGTCCCTCCTGTTGGTGCAATATTATTATTGCAGCCCCATTGCCCAAAGTGTCAGAAGTTTTTAGGAAACGTGCTTGTAGCTTTGTGAAACAGCACTTATATTAAAAAAAAAAAAGGCAAATGAAAGCAGGGAAAGGCAGGGCTGAGATACCAGCAGCAAATGCTTATTATAGAACTCTTTTCTTGTATCTTGCTTCTGCAGCCTTGAAACAGATGTGTGCTACTAATAATGCTAAAAATCTTTATCTCAAAGATTGACAGTGCAATTACGTGCCTTAACCATTTCAAAGACATCATGCTAGTCACTAGCCTCATTCTGATGATTCAGAAAAGTCTGTAAGGGCACCGAAGACTGAGGCTACGAGTGAGACTTCAGTAAGCTGAGCTTGAGGAAATCTAGTTAACTGAAGAACCTAATACACTTTTTTTGGCTATTTATTTATTTATTTATTTGCAAATACAGTGAAAATCTGTATGTCTGAAATGTCCTTATACTAAAACTGGATGAAAATGGCATGTGGACTATTCAAATTACCCACTGTGCTGCTCTTTTCCTCAATTAGGTTTGTTTTTTTTTAAAAAAAAAAAAGCAAACAAGCAAGCAGCAAACAAAAAAGGTAGTAAAAATAGCCCTAAGGTAGACTTAGTTGAAGTGAATGCCAGGCTAACATACCTTATCCACACAACTCTGAAGGCTCCTTAGGATTTGTTTTCTCTCAGTGTGCACATAAAACTAGTGTGGCTTAATGAACATGGTGTTGCTCAGTAATGATCCCCATGTTAATTTAAGAGACTCTCTTCATAACTCTCCTGAATCTCACTTTGTCCTTCTGTGTGAAAGGATGGCTGCTACAAGACAGAGAATTGGCGTGATTTAGAAGGGCTTGAAAAAGACACAGTGGGGCAAAATACTTTAAAAAAAACAAAAACAAAACCAAACCCTAACCAACCAAGAAAAAAAAAAAAAAACAACCTGTAGAAGCTAAAAGTATGTGTCTTAGAAAGAAAACATATTCTTTGCTTTAACTTACTGGAAATTATCTCTTTCAGATGTGTACTAAAAATGGACCACCACTGCCCATGGTAAGTTTATAAAAACGAAAAAAAAGATCAATATAGTAATGATTAATTATATCCTACATGATGAATTACATACTGCTTCAAAAATGCAACTGGGAAGTAAAGCTTGACTTTCACAGAACTTCTTGAGGCTTTAATATGTGAAAATAAATCTTGTTCCTAATGTGTGTTGCAATGTAGAGTTACAGGCCCAGGAGCCCAAATCATGCAGTTTCTCCTTATACAGAGAAACCTTGGTGTTAACAAGAGCTATGAGAAATGGCATTTCTTTCTTTTGCTTAGTTTGATGGTGTTAGCAGGAAGGGAGATACACACTACACTGTGAAAATCAGTTCTGGATTCTAGATGGTACATAAGACCCACTCAGACAGTTCCTCATCTGCAGTTTGTATTCACTGGTAGTGAGTAAAAATTATCTGCTGTGGCTGTAAAAGTGCTGCAGTCAGTAGTTGACTTGAAGTTGGTTTTGTAACCAAAGTAACATCCACTGAAATTGATGGAGAGGCTTGTATTGTCTCCCACAATGACTGCAGTTAGTTCATAGTGGCTGAGACACTTTCTATACAGACTGTATGTACCATACTCTTTGCCAGCTCAGGTACTGTCCTGTAGAACTTTGTGGGAGGGCAAAATTTATGAGGGGCCCAGATCATTTGGCCTGAGGAAAGAGATTTCATTCAAAATGGTGGCTTAGAATGCTTCTGAAACACTGCTGCCAGACTGTTTTGGACATACCACTGACATCGTACACATGTTATGCTCTGCAAAAGCTCAGTGTATTGGTTTTATTTTATTTTATTTTTTGTATATCATAGTAACCTCTTTCTCTTTCCCCTCCTTCTAGGGTGAATAATTGTGTGGGATTTTCTAACTACAAATTCTTCCTCCTGTTTTTAATGTATTCCTTACTGTACTGTCTGTTTGTTGCCACTACAGTCTTGCAGTACTTCATAAAGTTTTGGACAGTAAGTTCTAAGGCTTTTTTTTTGGTTGTTGTTGTTCATTTGTTTAATCTTGCATGTGTTATTAGAGACTATATCAGCATGTTGCCACTCACCATTTACTCTGTCCATAGTTCATTACCATTAACAGCATCAGTTGTAGTGACTGAAGCAGGAGAATCTTCTGAATATTAATGAATTAAATATATTACACTGCCCAGGATGAGTAATTGGGGAAAGAAGTTCCGATGAGGACACTGCAGTTTCTTCTGCTCCATCAAAATTGAGTGGCACAGCTTAGGTTTTTTTGAGACTATTAGATGTAGATACATAGATGCAGAAAGAACTCACCATATCTTGGGAACTGACTGAGCTCTATTTTGGAGTCCCTGCATAGGCATGTCTGATCTTCATACTGGTGGCTTTTACTGATCTCATATGGGTAGAATGCTAAGATACATACAGTGTTAATGATATACATCTTCCTCGCAACTTTCATCAGCTGTCAAATGATCAAAACAAATACTTGCATCCTACTAGATTTAATAACATTTATGTGAAGGGCAAGCATCCTTGTACATCAGTGTTATATTCCACCTATCAGTTTTGTTCCAGTCACATTCCAGGCTGATCAGAGTGTCTTCTGGTGTTGTTCCCTTTCATCTCCAAAACCTTGAACTGTGCCTTCCTGTCATGTCGACAGAAGAGCTAGTGTCAGAATTCTCTTAATCAGTTTCCATTAACTGACATGGGAAAAATCAGTGTAAGTGGCAGGCTCTCCATCACATCTTTATAAGTAAATAACAGCACGTATTTCTTAGACAGCAGTTGCTGTCAGAGCAGTTGGGAAAAGCAGTCATTATCTGTAGCTGTAGAAATAATCTTTATTGGAGCAAAAAGATGCTGCCATGTCAGGGTAAGAGAAGCTTGATCATGTATACAGCACAGCTGTACTTTGAGGCAGTTCGCATTAGACAGGTAAGATAAATGGTGCAAAAAGTACCCACGTTTGTGTTCATCTAAGCCTGTGGGGCTGATCTGCCAAAGTACTGTTTCTCTTAGTCCATCAGTTCTGTATAGTGACCTGTCACTGGAGAGCAAGGAACTCTGTGGGAATTGAGCTGTCAGTATGGTGTGAGATGAAAGCCATAAATGTATTTATCAGTCATAGCTGTGGCTTGACAGATATTTCAAATTAAACGGTTTGATTCTGCTGTTCAGTCTTGCTTGACTGTGAATAGTTAAATTTTTAATTTGTGAATGTGCCACTCCCAGACATCTGCCTGGCTGCTTTCCAGTGCTTTGTATGCAATTTCTAATGAAACTGTAGATGTGCGTTTACATATTTACCAGTCAGTGCTTGAGCAAAGAAAATTAATGTTGTCACCTCACTTCGTAAGTGTTAGTGCAACAAAAGTCCACAGGACATCTGACCACAGTGAACATTTAATACCAACATTTGCAGCAAGCCTCTTCCAAAGCCTGTTGAACACAATGTTGAAGTGGACTCTTGAACAGAGGAAGTGAAATTAAGAGGGAATTTTTTTTTTTTTTTATTTAGTTGATTAAAATTGCTTCCTGCAAGAATGGGCTAGTTCTGAAATGTAACAGTAGCCAATGTAGTTACGCGCTTGCACTTTCTGCTTTCATTTCCGGTTACTTCCAAGACAGAATCTGGTGATGCCATGATCTTGTCATTAGAGTAGATCTCTGACTCACTTTGCTCATATTCAGTCACTCGTTCCACAAAGCTAATACTCCTCTGATCTTGTAATAGCCTAGTTAAAGTAGACTTCCAGAAAGAGGTGGCAGCACCATAATCATGTAGGCTTGCAAAATTTAGTGTCTCTAGTATGTAAGCTTTTAGGCAAGTGCTGCTGACTGCAGAATAGACTCCTGGCAGCTTCTCTCCACATCTGTAGCCAGATCAGAGCAGAGTACTGCTGATATGTGCTGTCAGTAGATTGCTTCAGTATATTGCTAATGCTCAGCTTTGTCTGCTATAGCATCAGACAGATTCCTCTTTTGGCATTTTCTGTTGAGGTTCTTTAGATGATGTTTTTTCCCCCCAAAGTCTGACTCTCAGAAATATTATAGTACACCTTCAGAAGGTACTGTTTCTTTTTTGCTTCCTCATAGATATTTTTCAGAGAAAACTGCTCTGTATATCCAGTGCTGGGATGGAAGATGAACTGCTTCTTGAGGAGTGTAACTCTGGTCCCATCAGAACCTGTAGTAATGCGATTGTGAAGGTGTATGTGCTAACTACACAAATTTAGCAATCCATTGGTTTGCACTGTTGATAATACTTGCATAGAGACACAACACACATATGCAGATACTTGCAAACATTGTGAGATATGGACACCTACCTACCTCTTCTGTTGAAGAAAGTCTTTGTGTTTCCCACTTGCACATGCAAGACACAGTATGTTTCATGGTCTGTACAGAAGAGCAGAAGAAAGATCTTGACACTGTTCGTAGGGTGCTGGAACAACCACACTGGCTGTAGTTGCTTACCACAGGCTCACACACTGATGCAGAAGTTAAAATCTGTTTTGTAGATCAAGGGAACGTGAATTACTCCTTTTTTTTTTATACTCATAACTACTTTTCCTATACTCATTAAATTTTTATTTCTACCTAGGAAGTTGTTAAAGATGAATAGATAAAACCTCAGTTTAACCAAATGTATTTGACACCAACACCAATACTGGCTGAACGCCCAGTCCTTGATGCCGTGTTTACATAGTGCATGGTGGTACTCTCATTCCTTTTTGCTGCACTCCCTCCCCCTTGTAACCTGTATGTTCTCCTGCTGTTTTCAGTGTCTTTTATTATCTTCCAAATTATTTTGTCAATCCTGAGTATAGCTAATTCGAGGATGTGATTTCCAGGTAGATGGCACACACTTTTGCAAAACTTCAGTTGTATTAACAAGACAAAAACAACCAAACAAAAAAAAGAGCAATTCCAGATCCTTAGTTAGGACTTACTCTGCTTGCATATACTCATAAGGCTGTATACCAGATCATCTGAGTTTTTTCTAGATTTAAGCTAAACCTAGCTACTGAAAGATGGGTAACAAGTCAAGCTCTGACAGCACTTTTTTGTTGTGGGGTTTTTGAGGGGTTTTTGTGACCTGATATATGCTCAGATGACTCTGTGCTTGTGAAGGAGTTTGTAGAGGACCCTAGAATAGTGACTGGCTTTGGTCTATTACATGTGCAAAGTAGTCCAAACTTTATTGTGAAAATTGCTTCCCTTTGTAAGCTCTGCAGCTCTCTCACCTGCAAGCCTCTGCTTCTGTGCTGCTACTAAGCATAATGATTTTAAATAGCTAATGTCAGAAGTTTCACTCTCTTTGCACATGCTGTGACATGTGGTCTGCTGCTGGAACACAACTGTGAATAAGCTTGTTATACTCACTCAAAGCCTGCATGCTTCTCTCCAGGAAGGAATTGGCCTTTTTTAAAAAGATGCTTCAGTTCTGCAGCTGTCATTCAAGAACTTAAAACCAGTGCCTGAAACTGGGTAGTTAGAAGAGGTAGATGTTCCCTGGAGATCAAGCAAATTAATAGTGCATAATTCAAAAAATCCTTCTCCAGATTATAGAGCTTCTATTTTAGGAAGATAAATCTGAAATAAACACTTATTTTCTGACCCACAGAAAACACAAAGACTAAGTTGCTACTGCTCTTTGAGCTTCAAAATCAACTGGCCTGAGAATTCTTTGTAGAGAACTATTTTGTTTAAATATGTAATTCCAGAAGAGTAATAGAAATAGAGGTTACAAAAATTAATTAGGAAACTGAGGAGCACTGCAGTGTGTTCTGAGGTAGGTAAAGTCATCATAGCTTTAACATGAAGCTTAGGAATAAGCAACAATTAGAGTATGTATTTTGCTAGCCTTGATTTCAAGGGATCACAAAACACAGCATATCCCTACAGCAGGGGGAAGAGGGACTGTTGCACAAACTGTCTAAGCAAAACTGTGTCAGGAAAAAAAAGGCAGTAAATAAGGGTACTGAACCTGGACAGCAGTCCAGAGAGCTGAACTCTGCTGTCATTTGCTTACTCTAGTCTGATCTGATGGTAGCCAGCATTTTTGAAAATGCTGTATATATCTGCCCAACTCCAAGGTAAAAGCTTGGGCTCTCCATAGACTTTCTGCAGAGATTAATGTAACTTAAAAGCTGTACATCTTGCCTACAACAGATTTGTTAAGTGCTACCATCTTGGCTAAGACAACTAATACCACTACTTATGTATAAAGTTTGTAATTTAAAAGCTAATTTAAATTAAGCTTTCCTGTTTCTTCCTTAATTTTCTTAAGTACTGGTTCAATTTCAGATGTTACACTAAAGATACATCTCACAAACAAATCTCAATATTGAAGGATATTGGGAGGAAGAAAAACTGTACTGATGAGTTATGGGTTCTTTTTTAAACAAAGAAAGTTGTGCCAAGAATGGCAATTTTTTTTTTATGGTTTTGACTGAAACTACATCTAATGGTAATAGATATGTTGTGAAGTCAGAAAGATTTTGTAATTTAGAAACCATTGCTATATACCTCTGAAGTATTCTGAGCTTTTCAGACCTTTATGAATGGTTTCATCATACAGAATATTCACATAAACCTTACTTGTGATGGAAACAACTAGCAAAGAATGTACCTGGTGTAGTGATGTGGTTCAAGCTGAGGAACAATTAAAAATAGCCACAAAAGCCACAATCTAAATAGCAGTACTTATATGCTTCAGTAGAAAATATCATGCCTTGAAAGTTAGTAGTTTGCTATTACATACTCTCTCCTTCATTCTCTTGGAGAATGGGGGCTAAGGCTGCCGATGGGCGTTGGAACTCGGCACGTCCGAGAGCACGTGTGCACACCAACCATTTATTTCTTAACAAAGCCTGTGCTGTTTTCAAACTCTTCGTCTTAACATAATACTAGTGTTTAATAAATTGTCTTTGTTTGCGCAAAGCTTTGCCGCAGGAAACCTGCAGAGAATTGTCCACAGGTAAAATCCAATATTGCTGTAATTATTTAAATACTGTTCTTACTATAATTTTTCTAATCCAGTCATTCGTAGTAGCTATTTACACCATCGCAGGAGGAAAGAGACTTGTAATCTGTTGCCTGTGAATATAGGCAGTGTACAGGGATATAGATATACCTGTGTGCACTTGATCTTAGTTGAAATGTGATTTAGTCTTAAAAAAAAAAATCCCCTTTAGATAAGTGGGTATATTGAGTGAGCTAATGGAAAAAGCAATGGCAATAATGCTAACTAAACAGCTGAATAAAAATAGCCTCTCTGCTTTCATAGTGCTGTTAAAGGTCAACTACTTAAAAGTACTGTGATTTTGAGGATATAGAACTAGAATAGTGTTGTTACAAATCCCATTGGCCTCTTGAAAATGCAGCCCTCAAAAATAGTTGTGATTGGGGGTGGAATCGACTATCTGATATGGGTGGGAGGTTATTTTTTTATATGGTGGTTGTACTGAAATTGTTGTTTTTCATGTAGATCTTCTGGTAAATCACTTCTGCCTGGTCAGACATGGCAGACATGGCAAATTTGTTTTGCTAGGTATTGTCTAAATTTTAGAAATCATCAAAAATCGAAGATCTGTCCCAGGTCTTGTCAAGGAGTTGTTCAGTCTTGGAAACAGTATGATAGCTATTTCCCTTTTAAGTTCCTTATACTGGTTCAGAAGTAGGTTCGGCATTATTTCCTTGCCAGGAAAGGGTTTGGAAATTTTTTTTGTATTTTCTTGCCTTCAAAGAAGGTGATTTTGGACATGTTTTCCCTGTGTTTCTTTGAGTGTGGCTGCACAGTTAATATTTTTTAGTATAGGAAATTTTTTTCCTTTCCTTCTACTGTGCATTTAAAAAACTAACCTTCGATTATAAAAAGTGCTATGAAACAGATGAACATATGCACTCATGCTACTAAACTCAGATGGAAGGTACCCATCAGCTTTAAATGCTGTTAACACACCAGTTTAACATGACATGGAAGAAAAGCCGAGCTTGTGCTTTTTTTTTTTTCTTTGTGAAAAGTCCGGTGAAAGACCCATAGCAGAATGAGTGTGGCAGAAAATGTTTAGTGATAATACTGCATTAGATGCTAAAAAGTGCTAACCTATTAATCTCTTTCTCTCTTTCTCCTCAGAATGAATTGCCAGATACCCATGCAAAATTCCACGTACTATTCCTTTTCTTTGTGGCAGCCATGTTCTTCATCAGCATACTGTCACTCTTCAGCTACCACTGCTGGCTAGTTGGCAAAAACAGATCAACCATAGGTCAGTTAATTGGAATACGGAACTGTTCCTTGTCCAGAAAACCAACAAGTTGATGAAAATGAGGCCTACAGGATATGCCATCACATATAAATGGAATTTTAAAATATAGTGCAATAAGCATATTTGGTGAAAGTAATTAAAGGTGAAACATACAGGAAAATTAAGCATGTGTCAGGGTCTTCTGCTGAAGCCAAGCACACAGATTCATGATGAATGTTAATTTCTTTTGTTTGTATTTTTGAGATGTCTGAAGCACTGTGCATTTTTGTCGTGGTATCATACAGTGTTAAGTATGTAACACAATTTCTACTTGCCATTGATTGTATTGTTATAGAACTTTGAGTAGCTGGGCGGCCCCTACCAACGTGAAAGCTCTACTGTGTATGAACACACTACATTTGGAACCAGATCCAAAAGAGTATTCTTAAATCTTGTGAAAGAAAATGGACCTCACTATTACAAAGTGGCTTGTAAAAGCAATGCAGTAAAAATGGTAACACTGATGCGCATTTTCTAAATAATAAGATATTCCCATAATTTCTGTGCCTAAATGTTTTAAATGGCATTGACCAGCATAAGTAAGTTATGTGCATTAGTTAAAATATGTGAAGTTCTTGATAAAGCATTTTTGAAAGTGTTTTTTGTGGGGTTGAAGGGATAGGGACTGGTAGGTATTTCCACAACTGATTGAGTCAAGATCTTATACCTTTCAATGGAAGTTAAATTTCTATTCTCAAACTTAAGTGGGTTGGTTTAAAGTAAAATCATTTTCAGGTTTCTAGAATTTTTTGATGGAGGAAAAGGAATTTTTTTGATTGCATGACAGGAGGATTGCTTGGGTCCTTTTTATTTTGACATCGCTATGGCTAAGGAATATTCACAGTCCTTTTTTTAGCTTTGAAGAAAATTTTAACATATTCCTTGCCCAAAAATCAGTGGTCATAATTGGCAACACAGTCAGTACTTCATTTACTTTCTGGATCATGACTGTAAAGAGACAAGCTGTTGGTATGTGGAGAGCAATGAGTCCTCTCAGTTCTTAGCCAAGGGTGTAACCTGACTGACTAGAAAAATGATGGTGGTTTGATATAAATCGTGGTGTGTCTGTGTTTCCAGTGTAATAGATCTTACCTTTCCCTGATACCACGGGAGGTTCTTCATTCAACTTCAGAACTTGACAGAAGTGGAAAAAACTATCCTGTATGAATTTAGGTCCAGTAATGCTTATGGTAAATTGCTTCTAGAAGAGGTCTTCTGCTCAAAGAAAGCTTCACAAGCCAAAGAGACAGCTAGCCATCAGTGTGGCCAGCAGGTCAAGGGAGGTGATTCTGCCCCTCTACTCTGCTCTCGTGTGACCCCACCTGCAGTACTGCGTCCGGTTCTAGGGCCCCCAACATAAGAAGGACCTGGACCTGCTGGAGCAAGTCCAGAGGAGGCCACAAGGATGATCCGAGGGCTGGAGCACCTCTCCTATGAGGACAGGCTGAGAGAGTTGGGGCTGTTCAGCCTGGAAAAGAGAAGGCTCCAGGGAGATCTTATAGAGGCCTTCCAGTACCTGAAGGGGCTACAAGAAAGCTGGGGAGAGACTTTCTACAAGGGCACAGAGTGATAGAACAAGGGGTAATGGCCATAAACTAGAAGAGGGCAGGTTCAGATGAGATATTAGGAAGAAATTCTTCACTGCGAGGGTGGTCAGACACTGGAACAGGTTGCCCAGAGAAGCTGTGGATGCCCCCTCCCTGGAAGTGTTTAATGCCAGGCTGGATGAGGCTTTGAGCAACCTGGTCTAGTGGAAGGTGTCCCTGCTGATGGCAGGGGGGTTGGAACTAGATGATCTTTAAGGTCCTTTCTAACCCAAACCATTCTATGATTCTACGATTTTACGAATAAGGGACGTGATATCTTTGGCATGTTGATGGTACTTAGCTTTGTCTCAGACCTTGTGTTAAATGTACAGAGAGAAAGATGACTGTTCTGCTTAAATGAACTTTCATACCTTTAATTTCAGTTTTTGTCATTAGGGATGTCATAAGGGGTATGTTATTTTTTTTTTATGCTCTCTGATTATTTGAGGTGACTTTTTTTTTTCCCCATAATACACACCAAGATTGTCTCAGCTTTCCTGAAACTGTTTTCTCAGTAGAGAAGTTTGAGTCTGTTTATTCGCTTTCCATGACTCCTTATCGCTCTAGAGATTTTGCATGTTTTTCTTTTACAGAAACATTCCGTGCACCCACATTTCGAAATGGCCCTGATAAAAATGGCTTTTCTCTTGGATGCAGCAAAAATCTAAGGGAGGTTTTCGGAGATGAAAAGAAGTATTGGCTACTCCCTATATTTACCAGGTATTCAGTCTGAATGGGAATGAATTGGGGAATAAATTGATTCTATGACTTTCACTTTGCTTCCTCTTCTCCTAAAAAACAAAGCACAACTGAAAAGCCAACTTGTAAATCCTGCACAATCAATTTTAGGGAAAATGTGCAGGAGAAAACTGAGCAAACTCTGCACAGGGTTTTCATTCAAAGATAAGGGTCTCATGGCCAAGAGCCTTCTAAATATGGAAGTTTGTAAAGCTTTGAGAAGTATGTTTCAAAAATTGTGCACCTTTTGGTTGGAGTACTAGTGTCTGATTATAGAGCAGAAATCAATCAGTAACTCAGAGGAGAGCCAAATGGTTGAACTTCAGCTGCATTGAAACAACATCAGTTTAAAAACACCCCCTCTTACCCCTGAAAAAGCCTGACAGCTTTCCTGTTGCTGTCGATGACAGTCTCAGTATTGGAAGCTGCCTGAGAAAGTGCATGTAAATAAGCAGCAGTAAAAAAAAAATCTGATACGATGCAAAATACTGGTTGTAAAACTTGAGCTGAGCCAGTGTTAGGGAGTTGCAGACAAGCGTCAGAGAAGCTTGATGAAGCAGGACTGACCTGCTTCCCACTCCCACCACTCCAGAAAGCAGAACAAAGTAGATGCCATGTTTCAGCACTGCTTTTGGGAGTCATGTATGAGTTTAAAATGTTGGTGAACTCATTTGTGAAGCTGAGGTCTGGTAGCAAACAGCAGAGGTAATAAGAAGATCCTAATTTGCCTCAGCTGTTTGCTCAACTACCACGACTTTTCATGTGATTAAACACCAGAAGCTATATTGTAGATGAGTCTGTCTGTTTTGCTACCTCATTTTATCCTGATTAAACTTGCTTTAAAAGAAGGCTTAGCTAACCTCAAAATGATGGGTGGAGGGGAAAGCATGGCCACTAGAATATTATTTATGCCACAGCTTCAGGGGTTATAAATACCAGGTAGTCTGACTACCTGTGCACAGGGGTTTGTGGAAACACAAGGGCTATGGTCTGCAGAAACACAGTGGTGTTTCTGAAATCCACAGACTAGTGCTGTGCTGTGCAATCCCTACTGAGTGATAGGGTGGTAGTCATTTGAGTTCCAAGATTTAATTATCTGATCATCCAGCTTAGTGGTAGAACTGCCTTGCTCAATTCTGGAGTTCAACGCTGCACTCAGTAATTGATTTGAGCCTGTAGCGTTTGCCTTTTGCATGTGTACGTGTTCATTTAATTTAAGTCAACTACAAACAGTGATGTGAATCTTTGTTTCTGGTTTAGTTTGGGTGACGGGTGTAATTTTCCAACTCGTTTGGTGATTATGGATCCAGAGCAACTTACTGTCTCAAGCCAAAATGAACCTGCCAAAAGGTAACTATAGCATTTAAGATTCTGATTTTGTACTTCTCTGTATTTCATCTGGAGAAAAAATTGCTTCAAAATTATTTTTTATACTTCTTGCCGTCTTCAGAGGGAGTTTGTAAGTCTTCAGGGAAGGACAGAAGGGACTAGGACTAAATAATGGTGCTGCTTGATGCAGAATGTCTGTTTCTTGGTTTTGACCTAGGGACAGGATATGGCTTTAAGGAATCAGTAATACAAAAAGTAAGAGAGCTGACTGGCTCTTAATAACAATTTAAAAGTCCTAGGGAAGACTGAATAATGGCCCATGGAAAAAAAGTTTAAGATATTTTTGGGATGAGAGAAAGGCAAGGTATTATTTGTATTTCACCTCCTCCAGCATGCTTAATAAGGGATGATGAAACACAGTTTGCAAGAGGTAGATCACTGTGGCTATTGCTGGTTTTAAGCACTGGATGGTTTTTTTTTTAGCTCATTACTTTTTATCCCTCCATTTTTCAGTGTATTCTCAGGAAGCCTTCTCTAGATTCAGAGACACAGAATGTGAAACCTAGGGAGGTGTTTACATTTGCCATTTTAGAAGTCTCCTGTATAGTTTGGTGAATTTGTAGCTGAAGGTTGTTGTCAACAGTCACCCGAGTTATCAGGCATTAGGTGGGTTCAAAGGCAAGACTGAGAAGAAGCTGCTTCCAGTGCAACATTGCCTGTGGAATTTACACAAGAGCAGGACCCTTTTGCAAACAGCAGCGTATCCTTTTGCATCAAGATGTTCAGCAGAAGGCCCTAGCATTTACTGGTGGGATAAGATGGCATCATGTTGTTCTTACAGACAATACTAGTTAGGTTTTCTTTTTAACTGTGTGGCAGTAGCATTGTTGTCAGTCTGCCATTTCTTGGCTTTCACGCTCTACTTTTCTTTCCATGAGAACTGTGAGTGGCCTGTGTCAGGTGAGGGTTTAGACTGATGACTGGAACAAGCCTATATGAGAACTAGGGTTGGGGGCAAGGGGACATTTTTAGTTAGCAGTGGAGGGTTTTTTTGCTTGCTTTGCTCTTAAGTAACTTCCCTGCTGTAGAAATGTCTGAAGTAAGCAGCTACTGCTATTAGAGAATTCCTGTTGACTCTGCTTACTTTTCAGCTCTGGAGCCAATCAGTCCTTTCCTCCTCGACCACTAAGTGAATCACAAAATCGATTGCTAGCCAGTGACAGTCAGTGGGTGGAAAGTGGCCCTGAAGAGGAAAATGTTAAATCAGGTACCCTGCACCATAACACTTCTGATGATTCTGTGGTTTTGTTTGTGGTGGGTTTTTCCATTTATTTATTTTTTTAGTTCTAAAAAGTCTTTAGGAATTGGTTGGAGCCAAGTAAAAGAAAATTTGTTCTGTAGAATCAAGTCAGCACGTTTATAAGTTAAGGCTAACTTGTGTGACAGGCTCTGATCCAAACTGAGTTATTACACTAAGGTGTAATAGAGGAGAATAGAAAAATAAGGAGAATAGATAATTCTCGCTTTCTCACTTTCTGTTCTGAGATTTTGGATCTTTTTACATTTGATTAGGGGGAGGAAAATATTTTTCTAAAATAGGCACAACACAATAAATGTGCTTTCTGGTTTGAAGTCCTTGCTATTTGTTGTACAGATCTGAGAAAACACATAATCAAGATTCTCTCACATTTTAGGTGCAAAAAAGCATATTATAGTTTCATTGGAAAGCTGATCTCAGCTTATTACTAACCAACCATCTCAATGAGAAACAGGTAAGACCAACATAACTGATTGCTGTTTCTGTGTATGTGTGAGTAAACTAAAATAGACATCTTCAAGTCAAAAGTCACTAGTCATGGAATGCAGAGGAGTCCTCTGATGTTGGATGAGTAATAGAAGAGTCTAAATAAAACTCGGAGTGGCTGTCCAGAAGACAAGAATGGGAGTAATGCTGTAGAGCAGGAAACATGGGCTGGCTAGATCTGAGATGAGTCAGACTAATGCTGTAATTTAGAATGAAGCAGGTAGTGCTGGATTTGTTACCTGACCAGGGAAAAGAATCTCATCTGCTAAATAGGCAATTTCAAGTGAAGTCCTGTCTTGAGGAAGCGGTGTTCTTTAAGGAACAGCTCCTTAACTGTCTTTTTCTCAATCACATATTGGTGGGCCGTGTTCTGCTCTTATACTTTACGAATCTGCGTGTGCACGGGGGAGGAAGGAAGGTAAATAGGTAAATACAGGTGTCTGCGTACAGCCTGCTTCATCACACTTGGAACTGACAGCCGGCTTTTGTGTAAGAGCTCGGCACGCACTCTGCATTTAGGAAATACAGTGAAGCTGCTGCATATATGAAAACATCCCTTTGTGTATTTTCAGTGACCCAGTTAGACTTCTCTTATGTTTACTTCATACTCTGGTAAGCTTATAAGCTCCCATTAAATTTTTCTCACTGGAAGAGAAACAAATCTTACTTGGACCACTAGCAGCTGTAGACGCTGAGGGCTGAGTCATTCACCCCCTATGCCTTTTTTGTCTCCCCTCCCCTCCCTCCCCCCCCACCAAAAAAAAGGGAGAGAGACCTTGCAAGGAATTCCCATTTTCCTTGGGAAGAAGACACAATATTTGAGTTTTGTGAGCTTGGTAATTTTAGGAACACTTAATTTTTTTTTTTTTCCTTGTTTTTTTTTAAAAAACCCCAAGCCTTCTGATCTAGAATCATTGTTTTAGAGGAGCTTGATTGGTTTTCAGGAAAAAAAATCTGTCCAAAAGGTCTTTGTGAGGGATGGTGTGATGCTTGGACTGATGTTGGTCAGACTCTGCTCAGTGTGAACTCGTACAAGACCAAAATTAGACTAGTTAGCGGTACTCCTGAAAAACCTACTCAACCATGAGAACCCACCAATGATGAGTTTTCCTTTTGCAACTTTTCTTAAGACTTTATATATATATGCAAATTAATGTCCCAAGCAAGGGACACCTTTCAGCCTCTAGCTATATAAAAACTAACCTGATCTAAACAGGTTACTAAGGGTTTTCTAGTTTTCAGAGAAAGGAATACACCTTCTGAGAGCAGTTCATCCCAGCAGTCTTTGATAGGATATCAGAGAAAGGTCTTAATCTTTCTTTCCACTGACCTAGAGAGGGAGCATTAAGTGACTGGCTTAGGCTGGATAATTAACTGGTAATAGTTTGGGATTAATTTCCTATCTTCCCTCTCTTCTTAAAGTGAGGCCAAATTTAATAAAGGAAGATTGTGTACTTTGTGTCGCACTTGCTCAAACTGCTGTAGTTTTAAAAGTTGTATGAATAAATAGTGTATAGTTGCACCCAGTGCAAAAGCATTTTGGTGTGTGTTAACTCAGTAGCACAGTGTTTCAGCCGCTCTGAGTCCAGCTGGATTTGATCACAGTTTCTGTAGGCCAGGGTGGTTAAGTCCACTGCAGTTGTAAGCAACTACAAAACTGTAGCTGTGAGATCCAACATCAGTTCCATGTCCCTTTCTATACCCTGTAACAGAGTGATAGTTGTATTTTTCAATTTTATGCCTATGACACGCAGCAGAAATAACTGAAGTTATGGCTGGGGAGTAAAATTCCCAGATTATTCTAGAGAAAAGGGCATGATTTGCAAATGAAGGCCAGTCCCCCAGCCTCACCTAGGCAAATACCATTTCTGTAGCTGTATCTATCAATTTAATTGAAAATAAATGAGCAATTCTTGCCAATCAAGACTTTAGCCACAGGTTGGTGATGATGGACTGACATTTTTAGTGCAGATAATCTTCTAAAACATAAGAGGTTTAAAACAAAACCAAAACAAAACAGAAAACCACACCTCCCAGAAGGCTAATTACGAGTTGAAGTTACCTTAACTGCTGTCCTGAATCAGCTTTCTTGTAATGCGCTAGGATCTGTTTTTTCAAAGCTAATGGTATAATTCCACTAATTACCTTTTTTTATTTCACTAGGTTTCTGCAACACATTTTGTGCTTGAATATTACTTAATTTTGTTTGGAAGAAGTTGATCAGTAAAAAATGGAACATGAACATTTTAGGAAGAGACAAGAAATTCAAGTTTCTGCACAGTACGATGGATTCTTGTAAGCTCTATTGCAGAGCAGGGAAGTTAAGACAGATGCCTTAAGATTCTTAATGTGCATTTATGCAACACTGAATTATATACTGCTACCAAAGGGCCAAATCCTGAAGTGCCCTGCTCGGATGCACAAGGTCCAGAGTGGGAACTATGCATTTCTGTTATGCTGCAGTGGTGGGGGTAGATTGCAGGGACTCCTACCTCCGCACAGGCAACTTCACGCCTTAGGCACTGCAGAAGTCACTTCCATAGCAGGTCTCCAGGGTACAGAAAGAAACAAAAAAGCAAAGGGGGGTGTATGGGTGGGAATCAACATAGAGCATGGCTGGTGAGTCTGAGGCGCAACTAGACATGGTTCAAACACCAGGTGACGGGGAAGGGACTGGATGACGTGTTTTCTCTTCATATTAACCAGTCTACCCCGTGACCATAGCTCTCCAAGTCTTTTGGGACAGAGGATTCCTTCTACTAGCTGTGCTTTGGAGCAAGGCAATGCCAACAGTGTAAAAGCCTTTTACTTGGGTGTTGCTTTTTTGCTATAGGATTGAGTGCCCTCATCATTTTAACTTGATTTATTTAACAGAGCTCAAAGAAGCAAACTCATTTTTTAGTTGAAAAAACATGGATTATTACTTTCCAACAATTGTCTATTAGCATACAAAGAAAAGCCAATCCAAAAGGGAATGAACAATTGTTACATTTTCTGTTAATGACTACAGTGTTTTGTATTAGGCAGTAACAAAATGGTAAAGTACCTCTGAGAAAAACCTTATTGCAGTTGTGTGTTGTTAGAAAACGGAACTGGAGGAGTACTGCCTTTTCTATGGGACTCTTGATGGTTTATAAATACTGTTTTATACTTTTGTTTTATCTTTTTAATAAAGGCACAAGTTTTTATCGGTTCTAAAGTACCATATAAGCAAATACCAAGTGCTTATGAGAAAATTGGTGTTAGATCATACATCTGTGTTAACACACTGAAAATTTGTATGCTTTAGTCTGCCACTTTCAAGTCCAGTTTAAGTGATGCTGAAACTGCTACAGATTGAGTGCTTTGTGCAGTGAGGTACCTGTTCACAAAAGGCAAAATGTGTTTCCTGTGTGAGGAATGAAGTCCATCCAACACTCGAGACCCACAGCAAATAACATGGGTTTCTTTCACCTCACTCCTCTACAGAGAAGATTGCTAACTCACCTTTGTGTGGTATTGGAATTTTGCACCTGGAAAAAGTGACAAATGCTATTTTCTTGTCTGTAACTTTTCTGATGTTCAGCTGATGCTGATTACCAACAGACGTAAGCCCTTTTGATACAGACTGAAGGTAGTAGCTGAGTTGATGATCTGAATGAAAAGAACCTGTTTAGTTTCTCTCCCACACTGATTGCTACTTAAGTTAAATATGTTTATGATGGAAATACTAAGGTATCAAGTATACTGTAAGGTTTAAAACAAGTATTTTTTGTCTTTGGAAATAATAAATTTTTCTTTAATATTAACCTTCTAGAATGAGACCACTTTGAGACTCTATGAACATGATTTGGTTGCTGTTGGATGTTCTGGAGACGGAAGTAATTGTCCAAGCTTGCATGTTTTATAAAAGTTGCAGATTGTTTCTTCAAACTCTGTACAAGATATTTTGCATTTGCTAATTTAAAATCTTACAAAAACATTTGCTACACGTTAATCTGAAGGGTTTAGCTTTTTCTTCTCACATGTCAAGTGAGAAATGTTCATCTGAATATAAGCTCTCAGCAGTGCTGCACCAGCAGAATTTCTTAGGGAAGACAACAGAGACAGAAGAGTGCAAGTTCAGATGGCTCACTCTGAATACCAAAATTTGCAGGCCCAAACACTGGTGCAGCTGTAATGGAGGGCACAGGATAGCATCTGCCTTTTACTGCCTCAGTCTGTTGCAGCTGGGATAACATGCACCGATATCGTCCAGCAGAACTATAAGCAAAATCTATGTCTCTAATATGGTAAATATCACAGATTCAGCAATATGGTCTCTGCTCCCTCCACCCCAAAAAGTGCTTGATGTACTCCCATATGAATGTATATATACTGTAGGCTACCATCAGTATAACTTGTTTGATTTGTTAAGTCAGGATAGTTAATCTACAGGAAAAACTGCAAGCAAACAGCCTGGGCTAACTCCATGTGTGTTCTCCAGCAAGTGCTGGTCTTCTGAAGTCACTTCTTTGTATATCTGATGGACATTTCTTTGGCTTTTCATGAAGAGCTGATGTTTCTGACATATTTATGCAGATCATAGGTAGATTTTGTCCCAGATTTTTTTGTTTCAGATGAGAAAAGGAGAGCAGTGTGCTTAGGATAACTAAGAGAAACCCCAGACTGATACAAAGGAACTAAGCTCTTAAAGGGAATTGTACTGATGAACTCTAAGGGCCCATCAGTGAGTGGGACAGGGGGTCGGGTTTTCCTGGCAGGCCCTGGCTGCAGAGGAGGTATCACATGTAAGGCAGCAGGATGACATCTTCTGGTCTGTCCTGCAGACTTCTCCCCTGACAGCTCCCTAGCCATCAGCAAAGGGCACTCTGCTGCATCGAAGAGTGGGATAGGCAAAACCAGGGAGCAAGCCAGGAATTAAAAAGCTGGGGAGGGCCAAAAGCTGTTTGGCTGTTGAGCTGCAAGCAGATGCAGCCATCACTGCCAGCAGCGGCGGGGGGGCTGTAGGGGTGCTCCAGGAAATGGGTCCTTTTGGCCCATGCACTGAAGAGCTGAAAAATTCCAGTGAATGCAGCGAGAAGAGCAGCCCTGCCTGTTCAGGAGGCCAGAGGGATATTGATCCTAAGAAAACAACTGTTCAGAGTGCTGAGTCATGTTGTACGTGCTGGTTTTGTGCTTTACCCTACTCTATCAGCAAGTCTTGAAAAAACCTAGATTGTTGCTAAAAGTAACAACCCTTAAGCTTTTAGATCAATCAAAATAATTGCTATTGCAAGCCATAAATTAGAAATTATGCTTTGGTATTTCTTACTGCTTTTTTCTTTTAAAAAATTCACATACACACACAAGTCATGCACACAAAATTACATTAAACTCCCCGTGTGAGGATGGAAGCCTGTCGAAGGGTCAGATTTCAGTGTGATTTCTCCTCGATATTTCTGAAATGTATTAAGATGATAAACCTGTCCCTAAGAAGATGAGGCAGGGAGATCCATAAATAGAAAATACTTAAAACTGTTGTTTTTTTCCTTACAATGATTTACTCACAGACTGTACAACATACACACACTTGCTGCTCCTACCAAAGGCATATTATAGGACGAGGGCAGGAAGGGGTGTAGGCTTCTGTCGTAACTCACTTCCTACAGTATCATCCCAAAATTGCAGTGTCACAAGTTAGATGTGTCATAAGCCTTTGATTTAAAACTTCCACTTTTAAATATCCAGAGTTATTTTAGAGGGAGTTTTGACACTTTTATTTTTAGCGATTTGAGTAGAAATGGTAACATGTTTGTTACAGCTGCCCCTCAAGTGTGGAATTTGCAAGTACCAAGCTACTTTCCCTGTGCTCTTCTTAGAAACTGGTCCTGTTCTCCAGAGTGCTAAATGCCTCCAGTTTTCAGGTACTGTTTCTTCCCTCTTTTGATGTTGTGTGGCTCTTTGCTGTTGTAAATAGTTTTTTGGGGCTTGGAGATTTTGGTTAAGTTCAATACCATTCAATATCCACTCAAAGAACTTCTTCATCTATCTGACTATGGTCTGGCTGTAGCTCACCGGAGCCCCAAGAGGAGGGAAAAAAGCAGCGTTAGCAGCAGCATTAGTGTCTGGCACATTTACCAAGAGATGCATTGACTCTGACACGGATTAACCAGATCTGTCTAGATCTGGAACACTGACTGACCATATTTATTAAAAACTGAAAAAAAAATAAAAAATTCACACCTTTGAGCTTCATAGTGTTCATGTGTATGTTCTCTGTGGACACCATCTAAAACTGTACATAACTGGGAGATTCAGGTATACATTTACAAAGGCTCCAAACAGCAGCTACTTTAAGTGCAGATCAAGAACACATCTTTCACAGTACCTAAAAAATAGCTAGGTATGCAACATGAGAGGCTCTTCTGTCCCTAAACAGCACCAAAGACAGCAGCTGCATATGAAGAGATTTGTTGTAATACTGAACGCATTTACTACACTCATTTCTATCAATTTATTTTGTATATATAGACAGCTTTTTATATTCCTTTTTCTTAATTACATAACTCACAAAATGTAATGAAGCCACAAGTTGTAGTTAAGTTTTAATGCTGATTAGAACTGGTGTTTGGCTGTTTTCTCCAGCAATTACTTGAATCTTGTTTCCATTAGGTAGTGAAGTCTGATAATGTTTACAGGATTGCTTTCTTTGGTATCTGAGGGTTTCCCTGTCTTTGTTCCCACCCCCTGCCCTGGGACACAGAGAGCACATGCTCAGCAGTCAAGCAGGGGTGTTGGGGACCAGGTATGGGGATCACCTTTATTGGCACCAAAGCATTGATGGTGACAGGCAGGTTCCCTTCCGTCTACAGCTGACGACTTACATGCTTTGCCCTGTCCCTTAACCTGTCACCATCATCAGCTGTATCATGAGACACTAAAATCCTTATGAACAGCTATTTACAATCACAAAACTATCACAGGAAAAGGTTTGCTGTTAAGTCTGGCCCCTTTTTCACTTAATTAAACATCCCTGGGTTCTCTCTGCAATTATTTTTGTATTTGCCAGCAAGGGTCATCAACGTCTGCACTAATCACAATGTCGCAGCTGTTCTACTTCCACATAGTTATTTTTAATTGTGCTGCCTAAACTTGTAATGAGCTGTATTTAAGTTTGAGGGGAAGTATAAAAGTTCTATGTAGTCATGGCACATTTATTGTATTTTTTTGTACGTTACAGATAGGACTAGCCCTATGCACAGAGAAAACATGTTGCCATTTATAGTTTAATACTTGAAGTAACTTTTTAAAATGGGCTTTTATAAATGAATTAAATACAAAATCACATTGCTTTGCCTAGAAGTTCCTTTGTGTTTTAATTGTATTGTGCAATCTCCCCATATGTATACTTTCCCATGAATGTTACCTTAAGCCATTTATAACCATTGAAAGTGCATTCGAGATTTTGTACATCAGT